AAAGACATGAGGCCACTTCTCTAGAAGGAAAAACTGGTCCCTCACTAGGAGGTACTGATCTGACTGCTAACCTGCTCAAGCTACTTTCTCGGAGGTCCAAGTAACAAAAGTTTAATCCAGTAGCAATTTGACATTTGTTGATTTAGTATTTCAAATTTAATTTCTTCAAACACAACCTTAAAGCTCTGTGGTATACAAAATCTAATTTTACTGGGGTATAAATTTAACCCATGCTATCTTGATAAGACCTACCCAGGAGCCAGTCTCTTTATTAGGACCACACAACAGTTGTATCTCTCAGTTTCTGAAACGTTGTAATGGTTATGAATGAACTAATATTCCGGGACTAACCCTCATTTGGGGAAAAATTATTCTCAATTCAAGGAAAGTCAAACGGCAGCATTGGTGATGAAGGGTATCTAAAATAGAAGCATAAAATACTTAAAATAGAACTTCAAGTTTTCAAACTGAGAACATTTATCCTCTTAGTTTCTTTGCTCTTCATCACCAGTACTGCCAGTTGGCTTTTTGCTTGTTGAAACTGAGGAGGACCTGAAGCGCTTGCTACAGAAAGTCAAGGAAGGACTTCAGCCTTTAATATGGATTGAAACTCAACATCAAGAAAACAAAGATTCTCACCACTGGGATGACTGGCAGCATCATGATAGATGGTGAAGACATTGAGATTGTTAACAGCTTTAGTTTGTTTGGATCCACAATCAACACTCTTCGTAGCAGCAGTCAGGAAATCAAAAGGTGATTTACATTGGGAAAGTCTGCTGTCAGGGACTTCTCTAGAGTACCGAAAAGCAACGATGTCAGTCTGGAGACTAAGGTGTGCATGATCCAGGCCATAGACTTCATAGTTGTTGGATATATGTCAGAAAGCTGGACAATGACTGGGGATGAATAGAAGAACAACTGATGTGGTTGAGCTGTAGTGCTGGAGAAGAGTATTGAATATATACCATGGATTGCTAGGAGAACAAACAAGTTCATCCTAGAGAGGGTGAAGCCGGGCTGCACCTTGGAGGCAAGGATTCTGAAGCTTCGTCTGACATACTTTGGGTATGCTGCAAGGAGTGACCAGTCTTCAGTCTTCAGAAAGGGACATCATGCTTAGGAGGTTGGAGGAACAGTACAAGAGAGGAAGACTCTGAATGAGATGGATTGACTCAGTGACTGAGGTAACAGATAGAGCAGGATTCTAGGCTGTTGTACATGGGGTCACTGTGAGTCTCAAACAACCCAACGGGCACATAACTAAAACAACATTTTAGATACCCTTAGACATCTAACAGTAGGTCTTTTTAAGAGTTATAGCTAGTTGTTTTTTTTTGTTTGTTTGTTTTTGGTTTTGTTTTTTTTTTACAATAGATAGTCTTTTATGATTGGGTATTTTCATATAGTAAAACATTTTCTTTTTGGGGGGAAGGTTGATATATTTTTTTCTGTTTCATTTTATACTAGTTTATTTACAGAATTCTAATACTTTGTTTTCAAAATCAGATTCTTTCAATTTTCCTCAACCCTCCTCACCCCTGGACCCATCAGATTGCTTCTACCTCATCCTTCTGCTTCTACTCTCTCCCACCCTTCTTGGATCCTTATACTCATTCTACAATAATGGTTTTATACAGTATTTGTCCTTGTGGGACTCAGTTAGTTTACTCAGCATAATGCTCTCAAGTCCTTCCCAAGTTAGGTAATAATTTTCAAAATCATTGCTCCTGCATGCCACAAATGTACCATTATTTCTCAATTCATTAATTTATGGTTGGACATTTGGGCTGTTTCCACATTCTTGTGATAGTTAATAATGCTTTTATGAACACTGGTTAACAAATCTCCATTTGTGCCTCAGTTCTCATTTTCTCAGGGTATATTCCAAGTAGTGGAATAGCTGGGTCATATGGAATTTCTATGTTCAGTTTTTTGAGGAAGTGCCAAACTGCCTTCCAGAATGGTTGTACCATTTTACAATCCCACCAACAATGTATAAGAGTTCCTTTCACACCACATTCTCTCCAACATCTATTACTTACTGCCCTGTTGAACTTTGCCACTGTTACTGGAGTGATATGGTACCTCATTGTGTTTTGATTTGCATCTCTCTTATTTCCAGTGGTTTGGAGCATTTCTTCATGTGTCTGCTTGCCATTTGAATATCTTCCTCTGTGAAAATTCTTTCCATGTCTTTTGCCCATTTTGTAATTGGGCTATAAGTGTTTTTCTTGTGGAGGCCCAGAGGTATTCTGTAAACTTTAGCTTTGTATTTATATTCAAAATACAAATATCTTTTTCTATCCCTAAGAAGATTTAGTGATGTAGTCTGTAGCGGTTCAAATGCACCATCTGCTTTGAGGGAGTAAGCTGGGCAGTCTCCTCCTGTTACGATTTATAGCCTGACAAGTTGGAACTGACTCAATGGCAGTGAATTTGGGTGTTTGTGTTTCAGGTCCTGGATGGTACTGTAGGTAACTAGAAAACAAAACTCCTCAAGTTGTTGCCATTAGGTTAATTCTAATACATGACCATCCCATGTTTGTGAGAGTAGAACTTTGGTCCATAATATTTTCAATTTCTGAAGCAGATTTGGTAAAGCTGCCTTTCCAAGGTGGGCACCTGAGTCTCTAGCCTCCCAATTATCACCTTAGCAGGAGTGGCATCCACTCCCTAAACAACATGCCTTGGGAACTCTGCAAAGTCTGATAAATGATAGTTATAGAAAGGCTGCAGGCCTTTTGTACATTGGGTCATTATGAGTAGTGCTTGACTTGACGGCAATCAACACAATAATTTAAAATTCACACTGCTCGGGGACTCCTACATAAGTAACAGAGAGCTTTTATTTAAACTCCAACTTCCTTCTCCTAGGACTGTTTCTGACATACATTTCATGTTCTTTATAGGATGTTTAGGGAGGTCTGGTCACCCAGTCAGTAAAGAGTTACACTGCCAATTCAAAAGGTGGACAGTTTGTATGTACCGGCTGCTCCCCAGGAAAAAGACAAGCAATCTCCACCTATGTAATTTACAATTGCTGAAGACCCACTGGTGCATCAACTATTCGTTGGCTCCAACTTAACAGCAATGAGGTTTTGAGTTCATGACGTTTGAATGCCTGAGCATATGTGCGTGAATAAGGGAGTCATTGTGAGTGTGAGTTGAACACAATCTCAAACATGAGTTTAGAACATCCAGGAAATCAGAAAAAACATAATGAAATGAGAGATCCAAATAGATACCCTAAAAAAAAGTGATCCCTTCCCCCTTCCACCTACCCTAGCTATTAGGGTTTTGCAGTTTCAGTTTTGTTTGTTTTTTAAATGCCATGGAACATTTAGAAACATCTGGCACAGAAATTCACAATGAAAACCAGCTGAAGACCAAGCATCTCTTAGGTGGAAGATGTAGCAGCGTCTGGACATGCACGTGCTGCCTTCCTTCCTGGGCTCCCTCTTCCCCATCTCACCTCTATACAAGAACAGTGAAAGGCTCTTGTAAAAAGAAAAAACTGTGCACTATTTTAAGCCACTTATATAGTAAAACCTGCAAACCCAGAAACTGTGTAAGGCAGACACAGGTTAGAGGAGGACAAACTAAATAGTTTCTGCAAAAGAAATTGAAAAGTGGCGGTACTTCTACCAAAGGCAGAAACCAGGGGGACCTGGAAAAACAAGGCTTTCCCGTAGAGTTCCAGCTCTCACAGGTTTTCCATGTACTTAGGTGAAAGAAAGAGAAAACAGGACATAGATAGGGAACACAGATTTGATCCAAAGACAGGAACTGCATATTGCCCACCTCATTTTGACACTTAAGTGATATCTGACTAATGATCCCAAGGTTAATTTTCATCATTTATCAAAAGAGTAAATTAAATAAATTTAACCGTATACCGTAACGAAATGTTAACATTATCTTCAACAGGCATTTCTTTCATTCACACCAACACATATTTATTGAGGACCAGTGACTAAGTAGGATCCCAAGGAAAAATAATTAAAAAGAATAATAGTTCCTCCTTGTAGAAGCCTAGTGATGAGAAAGGCATGCAAAGTTGTTTGGGGAAATCAAAGCAGATCTCCCAGGTGCATTTGCATGGAACCCAGAAGATGAAAATAGAAAATTTAGTTGATGGTGACACCATTCATTGAGATAAGAAATGGGAAGAAATACAGGTTGTGCTGGAAACATATAAGGAACATATTTTAGATAGGATGGTGTTGGAGATTAAGAGACTGAGAGATTCTACTTCCTCATTTTATCTTAAAGCAGATATGCCTTTTACACAGACTTGATTCACACTTCCATGTTGTGTTTTTAACATTACTGTTTACTAATTGCCATTAAATACATATATGAATGACTCTAGAAGCCACTCTACAGTTGCACAGTGGTTAAAGCTTCTGGCCAAAAAAGTGGTTCAAACTCACCAGTTGCTCTTTAGGAGAGAGATGTGACAGTCTGTTTCCACAAAGATTTCAAGCCTGGGAAACCCATGGGGCAGTTCTATGATGGATTCTTTGGAATTGGAATCAACTAATTAGTAAGAGATTTGGCTTTGGTTTGTGGAAACGGGAGCAGAGGTTCTACATGGAACCCTTACAAATGCTTTCGGCTCCTCCCCAGAGTATTTAGAAAATGGGGTTTTAGACTGTGGATTCTCAGCATTGTGGAGGAAGCTCTTAAACTCTTTTTTGTGCATTCAATGATCATGTGACATGATCAAGTAATCTCTACATGGCAAGCATTTACAAGCGAAGAGACATCCCAGGAATGAGCAGAGAATAAATAAAAAGCAGTGCGTGTGAAAGAGCGGTGGAGGGGCCCACGCAAGAGGGGTTTCAGTTGATAGAGGCCTGGGAAATAGTATTGCAGGGAGAAAAGCGCTCAGACACATACAGCTCTGGTTTAACAAGCTCACAAATCAATCTGATTGTTCAGCAATTCAGCTAGGATCTGCTTTACATCTTGTAAACAAACACTTCTGGTTTTACCTTTTTGGGCTCTGGCATATTATTAATATAAATAGTGTAGATTCCACTTTTATTAAAACCAGCTTGATATACATCTGCACAGTCGCGAAATGATTTTTCTTCCTCCTTTTTTCCTCCCTTTAGTAAAACTGCAAAAAGAAAAAAAAAGGTTGATATACGTGAATAAGAACGTCGTCATTAGTAACCAAATGAACCTCAAGTATGTCAAGTCTTCATTTCCTCTAAACAAGTGTCAATATTCTATTAACTGTAAAGTCAGTCATAAAAGCAATGTGATTTCACGGTAACTGGCAAAATAACCAAACCGATCCAATTCAGTGTTCATTATCTATCCACTGTCTGAAAGGAACATATGATTAGGTGTTGTACGTACAACAGCAAACTGGAACAAGAGATGCTTTGCAAAGTAGGCTGGGAGAGGGGGGAAGTTGGGGGAAGAAAGAATGTGCAATAATGAATGAATAAAAAAATTAAAAGTTACAAAACAAGCATAGAGAAATTTCTAACTACCTTTTGAACTTCATTTCATTGTTCTTGGTTTCTGGTAACACCTTTTTTCAGACCATCAACTAAAGGAACTGATTATGTGGTGTTTCTAATTAGCACCATTATGTTCATATTTCCTGTACAATTTATAAAACATTCTTACATACTTTTCACAGAAAAAAATTTTAAAAATTCTACACTAATTTTGAGATGAGGGAGGGGCAAGGATAATAAATTCAGACACAAAGAATAGATATAACAGAAAACATGCACTATTGTATTTGTTGTGGAATTAGATTGAATAGCTTTTAGTTTTAAGCATTTTTTTATATAAAACCAGAAACACTTTCAAAGTAATTAGATTTACGAATTAAAAAGACTCTCTATAGTCTGACGGAATGATCTAGTCAAAATAAAAGGGAACTTAGAAGAAAAAAACATTTAAAATGTAATCCCTTGAAGTTAAACCATCAAGTAGATAAATAACAACTAAAACAAAACAAAGAGCCAAATTAATAAGACTTTTAAACTAAGCATGTAAGGAGGAGAGTCCCCAAAAAGATGGAGTCATGTGAAGATAGGGGAGTTAATGAACAGTTTCTGCTGAAAAGAATCTTATATTATAGACCAAGTTGGTTTACTATTAAATTAGTAATTCAACTCATTGCCATCAAGTGATAACTGACTCATAGCTGACCTTTCAGTTGTAAGCCTAGGAGATTCACTTTTTTTGTCCTTTTTAGTTTTTACTCTAGAGAAGGTAGCATATTTGAACCACCAGAGAAGAAAGCATCACCTTTGATTAGCAATACAACTTTCTACAAATGAAGCCACCAGAGTTCCAAAATTCTTTTTTTTCCCCAAAATTCTTAATTAGGGAAAGAAAATGGCTCACATTTAGCAATTCATAGCTAACGATCCATGCGATATATGTGTAAAATAGTGTTGATTCAAAATTTTCTTATTTATAATTCTATAGTGTTGATTTATATATAATTTATATATATATATATAATTTTAACTGAGCTTATTTAAACCTGTAGAATTAAGAATCCTTTCTATTTTTGCTCTTAAATTTCTATTCTTTAATAAATACTTGCATTAATGAATTTTCCCAAATGATATTTTTTATAACAAAATATCAGAAATAAACCATTAGTCTGTGCTTTAAGTTTACATTAAACAGTGGCATAGCCCACGGGAGCTAACCCTCTCTCACAGTTTAAATCTACCAGTAGCTCCATTAGAGAGAGCTCTCCGGTATCCAGCCTCTGAAAATCTTCCAGAGGGTCCACTATGAAATGATTCTGATTCAATGGTAACATGATGCAGTGACACATAGTAGAAAATGGTAGGTTCATCTAAACTTAAGATACACAATGTTTGTTAATGTATGTTGTTGCTGTTCTGTGCCCTCACACTGGAATCTACTCATAGCTGACCCTCCAGTGGGTTTTCAGAGGCAGTCAATCATAGAGAAGACCGTCCATTTCTCCCCTATGAAGCAGCTGGTGGATTCCAGCCCTTTGCCTTTGGGCTGGCAGCAGAAATATAGGCACTTAAGAATTAACATACAAATTTTTGTGAAAAGAAAGACTAGCTCAATGTAAAAGCTTCTATTTTTTTTTAAATTGTAAACTGTGTTACAAGAAAATGAAATATCCATGCTAGACATTTTGTCATAACAAAAAAATATTTTGTCATTAAAAGAATATTATTCTCTATAGCTCATATTGGTGTTCCAATAAACTTACTTACTTTCATCAGTAATTACACCCAAACATCCCCGTTGCAATGTTAATATATCACAGACTGCCAAAAGTAGAAGACAAATCTGTCTTGAAGAAGTGCAGCCAGCTTGCAGCTTGGATGTGAGGACGGTGAGACTAAGTACTTTAAGCATGTTATCAAGAGGGGCTGGTTCTTGGAAAAGGACATGATACCTAGATAAGGAGCATTAGCAAAGGAGAGAACATCTTCAGTGCTATGGGTTGACAGACACACTGACTGCAAGAAGAGGCTCAGCACAGTGGTGTCTGCGAGGCTCGTGCAAAGAATCAGGCAAAGATTTCATCTGTTAGGTTGCTATGATGCCCAACAACGCGGAAAAACCAGCATCACTGAGTCAATTCTGACTCATGTTCCACCATTATTTCCAAAGCTGCTGTAGATCTTTGCAAGAGGATTCTGTCCATCTTCCTCCTGCGCAGCGGCTCCTGAGTTTAAACCCCTGATTTTTTTTTTTTCTTTTTTGGTGAACACTAAAGAGCCTGATACATTATATACTTCTTCACCAGGACCCCTAATATCAACAACACAAGATGAGCAAACTGAAGAATATTAGGGCTCATGTAGCCAAAAAATGTAGTATAAAGAAAAAAAAGAAAGAAACTAATAGGAATTCATTTCTGGATTTGATCTTGTATTTAAATCATTAGAAGCTTCTCTGGAAAAAAAATGTATAAAAAAGAACTTAATAATGAATGTATAATGTTTGCACAGAAGCCATATTCAATGATCTGGACACTATTATATATTTTTTATATTATATATTTTATTTATAATATTATATATTTTATTTATAATATATATTTTATGTACAATATTATATACTTTATTAATATTATATTTTCCAAAAATATTAATATTGTTTGTATGTTTTGTCTTATCTGTTTGAATCTAGTGGCATTTCCTTTTCCTAAGCCAAACTCTTCCTAAATTCTGAATGCTTGCTATTTTTTCTTTTGTAAAGGCAGAAATAACCAAACCAGATACAAAAAAAGGGGAGGATATAGAGAAATACTAACCAAAATTTATGTCTCTTGAGGTGATAAATGATGCAAGGAAATGTGGTCCACAGGAAACCAATGGTAAACTAATTTCCCTTTTTAGAATGAGAGATGGGGACAGTGCTTTATCTAGGAAGAAAATGCTTCTTTTTCATATACCACTTCCTGCCCTCTCATTTAGTTATATAAGCAAGACACATTCCCTTCACCTTTGTCTGCCAATCTACTTGTGCTCTTTTCCACTTTAGGAAGATGTGGCTAAGGGGCTTTTGTCTAGGAAGAAGGAAGCTATTTCACACACATTTTCAATAGTAGACAGAGGAAAGGAGAAAGTTGGGTTTTCATTTATTTTTTGGAAATAAATTTTGTAAAAATGATGTCCAAACCATGGATACAAATCCTAAACCTCAATAAATGGTGTGAGAATGCCACATCAGCAAGTACAATTAATTATACATTGTGGTTACCCTATAGTACTTGTGTTGTTATACACATGCATAAGTAATATACACATGTATGTTACTTTTTTTCAGAGTTCAGCTCAACGCTTAAACTCATTGCTATGGAGTAAGAATAAAATCATAGATGAAGATGGTTCTCTGTTCGGGTTTTGAGGCTAAAAATTACCTGAGAGCAAATTGTCCAACCTTCTCCCATGAAGCTGTGGAATCAAACCATCGAAGACACACAATATTGGGGTTAGCACCATGACTCTATACTGACGAGGTCATCAGGATCCTGTTCAATCACAAATTGTATCTTTGAAAAACGCAAACATTTGCACTGAGATCACTGTTCTTTCCAGAGAATAGAGCACTTCTTTTTAATAACACATTGTTTGGTAAAGCATGTGCTTGAAAATTTAATCTACATTTTAGTTTATTAATACTTTTAAAATCAATTTCAGGTTGATCCACAGTTTAGCTTTGATCTTTTATTGTAGGTTAAATACAGGTTAGGGAGCTCTGGTAGCTTGGAAATAACAAGTTGTGCTGGTTTGAATCCATTAGCTTCTCTGCTGGGAAAAAATGGGCAATCTTCTCCTGTGCCTCTGAAAACCTGCTGGAAGGTTGTCTATGAATAGATTCTCACTAGATGTTACATGAAAACAACAGTATATAGTTTTACAGAAGGCATCTCAATATAAAGGAAGAATTCTCCTTCACAGTTGATACTGTTTTAATCTATAAACTGGGATAAATATAAATGGCTCTAAAGTAGGTTTGCCAAGTCTATCATTAGAGTTGTTGTTTGTTGTTATGTGCCATGGAGTCACTTGCGACTCACAGCGACCCTATGTACAACAGCCCTAAACTCT